TCAAACTCGGTCTGATTTACCTTTCTGATAACCATTGTTTTCCCTGCACTCGAACAAAAAATTTCGTGGCATTTTCGCGGTTTTAAGTGCGGAATTTACTTTAACGCGTTGCGCGCTATTTGTCTTATCGAAGGAGTACGCGTTGTGAATTTCATCTTGACATCCTGCTAGTGATTTGCAAGTCCTGATTAGTGCTATTTTAAGTTATGAACAACGAAAAATGCATACCGAAGTGAGATTTATGGAAATGTATCGATAATTTTTTCCCAACTTTGCTTCCAAACCACGTGCTTTCCTAGGATGTGATTATTTTTTTTTTAGAAAAAAAATCTCTACAGATGCTCCTAATGACGATTTTAAAAATGTATCGTGTCCTGTTTTATCTGAAATTATATCCAGGTGCAATGCTAATGCGCTCAAAATGAGTTACTTACGGGAAAATACTTGACGTGTGTTTTTAAGCATTATATTAGTGAAACTCCATACACGAGCGCGTTTTATCATTTTTCAATGAAGATTCGTGAACATCGATCATGTTCATCCATAAATCCAAAGGCAATCATAACAATAAGAATGAAGAATCCAGCGACAATGAATCTGAAGAAGATACCGGCGATTTGTTACAGGTGAAAAATATTTGTATTAATACTTTTCCGCGTCAAACACCAAAACATTGAAACTTTTTGACACGTTTTAAAGCATTATAAATTCTAAAAACGATAAAACGTAGTTACAAGAAGACCACAAAGAAGAAAATATGATACTCTCCACGTTAAAATACTCCCTTGCGGATATTCGCGAGGGAATATGACTTTTTTGTCTTTTTCCGATCAGTCGCGTCGTTTCCAAGCTTAATGATGGGTTTTGAACTTTCTTGGAATGAGAGCGGAGATATGCACGACCAAGATACCGTGAAAAATAGAACTGATGTTTCCCATATCGAAATCCTTCTCCACAATCAACTGCAGAGGAGCGTTGATTTTTCATCCCTTTCCAACCAGTCGCATCGTCATCAAAGTTAATGAACAATTGAACTTTCCCGGAGCTGTAGCCAAGAAATTGACACTGAAAACTTACGTTTGAAAACAAGAATTTTAGAATTTGCTTGAATATTTCTTAATGATCATATTGGTAAAATGTTAATCAATGATTAGGGACAATCATATTAGTTTAAGAGGTACTATATGGCATGAAGAAGCAATTAATCCGGAAATTGATATTTGAACATATCAAATCAAGATTTTAAATAACTTTGTATCGTAATAAAATTTTTAAATTACAAATTTTACAAACATACTGGTGCTCTCTGGTGAGGAGACTGGGCGTGCGCTCCATTTCAGCGGGGTCATCATTGAATTTGATAATCAAAGCTACAGAAAAAAGAGATACAGAGAGTATGAAGCTGTCCGATTGGTTGAAATGGGTGGTTACTATAGACTAAGGGAGAAAATGATGGGCTAACAATCGGATCTCTCTCGGATTGCCGTTAGTCTAGTCTATTGCCTACCTCTTTTGTCCATTGCAACCACTTGCTTCCACCAATAGGATCCCTCCATGTCTCTTTTGTCTTATTTGTCTACAGCTTTGTCAATCAATTTCAGTAATCGGCCCGCTGAATCGATCATCATACTGCATTTTGAGTCAAATAACCA